AAAAAAATTTAATAGCTATGTACCTAGGCAGGTAGCTAGGTAGGCAAGCAAGCAGCCCGGCATGTGTATGTGTACACACCTACATGCATGCATATGCATATGTACGTGCATCATATATGTGTACTCAGCATGTATTGTGTATGTACGTGGGTGTGCATATGTAGCCAGAACTCCAAGCCCTGGAATCCTGAGCCGAAGTTCCTATATAGGGTTTAGGGTTTAGGGTCTAGGATTGCTAGCACACCCCTCGATACTCGATCATTCCCGGACGTTTTGTGGTTAGATTGAAGCCCATAGTGTCGCCCAGGTACCCGGAAAGCTTGAGCTCCTTGCGGTTCCCGGTGAAGCGAGGACGGCCAAACTTGTCGAGGTGCCTTCCTGGGCCGGGAACTAGGTAGCTGGGCTGGCTGATTATTGGGTCCTAGCTAGTAGGAGTTTAATTAAGCTATGGTGCGGACTGTGGTCAGCTTCTGGCGCTTCTGTTTCTCGGCTCTGGTAAGGCGGCCAAGGTCCAATTGGGATATGGTAGCCATAGGAGAAAACACAATGGTAGGCTTGGGGCTGGCGGCACCGTGCAACATCATCCAAAAGCGTTGCTGGAAAACCTTGGGATATCATGCATGCAGACGTGCAGCAGGCTGATTATGTTGCACCGCTTTGGGTTTCGGGATTAGGGTTTCTGTAGGGGATTATATCTAGTCTTCAGCTGAGAAGCTCGCACAACCTGGTTGCACATCCAGTCCCAGCGTTTGTGGGTCTTCAATAATGACTGGTGGGGCTGTTCTACCACCCATGTGCACTGCTTAGCCATGACCAGCAGGAGGAGGAGAACAAGCCTAGCACTCGAAATCTGCATGAAATAAGCAATATGCAATGTACGGTACATATGTGCATGATCACACGAACTCTCGTGATAGGCCTGCTCACCAGGCAGTAGTTCGAAGAGACCCAAGCAATACCCATCCTCCCAAACGGATTGATGCTTGACCTCATACTTGTCCCCCTCGCTGGCAGGCCCCAGCTGGAACAATCAGGGCCGATGAGGTTGAAGGCGTCGGGACACTCGTTGAGCACAACCCAGCAGGCAATCCTAGGCAGCACGGTGGGGAATGGCTAAATAGCTGTTAGGGCTTAGGGCTTATAGGTTCTAGGGTTCATAGGGTTTAGGGTTTATATGGGTTCAGGGTTTTTATAGGGTACAGTTGCGACCGTGACTCGCGAAGCCCTGGTTTTGAAGGAAGTTTAAAGGGTCGCCGTAGAGTTTGTCGAAGCTTGCAGTGGTAAACCCCTCATCATGCCTAGGACCGCAGAGCAAAGCTAGATCGGCAAAACATTGTGCACATGAAATGTACAGTGCTGCATGCACAGATGAGATCCCCACCAGAATTGGGTAACCTTCCCTTCTCCAGAGAAGAGCTCGAAGAACTCGTACGTTTCATCGAAGGACAACGTCGTCATCCACCGGAGCAAGAGAACCTTATATATATTCTTGACACACAGCAGCACAGATCGGGTGCAACCGCAAACAGGAAAGGACACACACACACACCATATTGCATGGTATGAGACTGTTGCAACAAACACCTGAGCTCATGGAGGAATGCAGATTAGCTCGATAACTGATTGCATGAGGTGTCCTTAGCGCTAGTTTGCTATCCTGGTCACCTTTGGTGCCTGCAACTGCACCAAGTTGACGACCAATGAGTTGTCCATGGCAGCCGGAGCACAAAATCAGCAAGCTGTGCCAAGAGTATCTGAGTATCTAAACATGGAGCAGGAGGGATGCAGCACACACTTTGGGAGTCCTAACCGTCCTAACCTACATCATCTGAGGTAGCTGGACAGGCAACACCACAGTTGACAGCTCGACCCATATGCTGCCCATGCATTCGGTTCACACAGCTAGCTCTAACTTCATATCACAAGAGAGGCTTCAAATCGCACGACCAGCAAACATGCTTCGGAGCACACACACACACACACACCTGACGAACCTGACGAGCCTGCTCGGGAGGCTCGGACTTGCCATCCTTGGACACGATCGCGAGTTCGAGGTCGAGGCATCCTGGCAACATAGGGGTTGGGAGGAGGCTTCAGGCTTGAGTCTAGAGGCAGGTGCAATGGTACGTGTATCTTGCCAGTGCATTGCAAGCCGGTCGCAAAAGTTTTTTTCAGGCGGACAGAGCAAAGCTAACGTGCACGATGTTCACACCGGCTCGGAACCCCAGGTGTTCTTACTGACACCACACAATACCCCGTCGCATTTGGCAAACTCATAAGCTTGCACAGGCGAGTAAAACCCAAAGGATGCCATCGGTCATGTGCATCCAGCACCATGTAGGCGGCTCCACATATTCACGACTCAGGATGTCGCACTGTATGCCTGCACGTGTCGTTGCTACAACATGCATGGTACACATGTACATGTCACAGAAAGCGCACAACTACACAGACACTTCACTTCGAATGCACGGATACCTGCTTGGCTTTCAGTCTGCACTCCTCCTCTGGTTTGCCTTGGTCCTTCGCCTCCTTAAATGCTTTGTGGTATGCAACCGATTTCCTGGACTTTGCCTCCTTGGCAAGCTGCTTTGCATCACTTGTTGCGTTTGATGGCTTGGCACTGCTCGGCTTGCTGGGTTTGCTCTTGCCTGCTGCTGTGGCTTTCGGTTTGTCCTTGGCCTTGGTTGCACACGGCTTGGACTCTGGCTTGCTTGGGGGCTTCGAGCCTCTGCTCTTGGGCGATGCCCGCTTCTTTTTGGGGGACGGTGCTTCATCCTCCTGCTCCTTTTCGATCGGTGCCCGCTTCCTTTTCGGCCCCCTTTTCTTGGGGGATGGTGCATCCTCCTCCTCCTTTTCCTTCGGTGCCGGCTTCTTGGTTCGCGCGTTGTGCTTGCAGGGCGGAGCTTCATCCTGGGATTCATCCTCCTCCTCTTCCTTCTCTTCCTCCTCTGCACCACTGGCATCGGCATCATCATCATCGTGATCACTCGGAGGCGGGGATTCAGGTCGCTTACATCCCCGTCCCCGTCCCCGTCCCCGGCCGCCCCCCTTGGCCCCGGGAGTGCGGCCACGTCCACGGCCACCTCGAGATCGGGCTGCGGGTCGCTTCAAGACTGCATCTTTTGGCTCGGATTCACCGAGCCCCCCCTCATCATCATCATCACCAGCTGCCTTCCTGGGGCACCTGGCTCTGGCTTTACCATTGGCTTTACCCCTTGCCCCACTCAGCTGAGTCTGCTCAGCCGGAGACAATGGCTCAGCCTTGGAAGTGTCTGGGCAAGCAGGCAACAGATCTTCCTGCTTTGCAGACTTGGGCGACACCGGCTCCTTGTCGCCCTCACCATGCTCAGACGGCTCCTTAGGTATATGATATGCATGCATGCACCTCAGGCACAAACATATGCACGTGGACATGCACTGCACTAACTCATGCTGAAAGTCATGCACAGATGGAGCGTAGTGCAGGGTGCAGTGGCTTGGGATATCATCATCGGGTTCAGTTGGGGTATCCTCGGTGTCGAAACATTCAGCTGGGGCCAGACGTGCAAGTGTTGGCTTGCCTGGAGCCTCACTGATCAGGTGGTGCGGCTCACCTACGTTGACATCCTCCAGGCCGGTGTCGTCGAAGTTCCAGGGCACTGTCTCCAAGCAGTCAGGTCCTGGGATTATGTTCGAGGATCCATAGGAGGATTAACTAATATACAAGATCAGAGCACATGCAATGTATGGCTATATTGAGCTAGGCTTCCTGTAGCCGAGGGCAAGCAAGGTGCACCAAGCAGCGCATTCTTTGCTAAGCTTTCGGGGTCCCCAGAACTCAGCGGGTTGGGTGTGGAGCTTGATTCACAGCATACGGTAGAAGTGCGAGGCCGCTTTGCATCCCTTGCTGCTGGTGCCTCAACCTCCTTTGCATCCCTTGCTGCTGGTGCCTCAACCTCCTTTGCATCCCTTGCTGCTGGTGCTTCAACCTCCTTTGCATCCCTTGCTGCTGGTGCCTCAACCTGCTTTGCATCCCTTGCTGGTGCCTCAACTTCGATTGCATCCCTTGCTGCTGGCGCCTGAACCTCGTTTGCATCCCTTGCTGCGGTCGGCTCAACTTGCTGCGCATGTACTCCTGCTGCTGCGGCTGCTTCACGTGCTGCATCCTCTAGGCTGCGAACTTTAGCCTCGTATAACTGCTGTTCTTCTATGGCTAGCTGTTTCTGCAGTTCTTCTATCTCGGCTTGCATCATCATTTCTTCAAGTTGTCGTTGTTCGTGAAGAAGCAGCTCCTCAAGCTGAAGGCCCTCGGCTTCGAGGTCTCGTAGCTTCGCCAACTCAAGCTCAGCTTCATCAGCTGCATGAACCCTCGCCTCGGAACCCTTTGGCGGCTGGCACTCAATGCCCTTCAGAACCTCTAGGTCCATGCTTGCACAATCGCAATTCAGGCAGCGATACCCATAGGCCCTGTCTTTTACGAAGTAGTGCTTCCCACGTTTCTTTGCCTCACTCTGGGGAGAATATGGCAAGCCTCGGACATGCAATCATACGACTTATTTCAACAAGCTGACGACCCACATGCCCCCTGGAAGCCTTTGGGAGGTGGTGTCACCACCAAGGAAGAAGAGGACTCCGAGGGCGGTGACCGAGCAGTAACACCTGGGGGTTGGGTTGTTCTTGTTTCTTATAGGATTTAGGTTTAAGGTTTAGGGTTTAGGGTTTATAAGGGCTTGGAATCCATACAGAACAAATGGGCCTGGCAAAGAGAGCTTTGAGATTGTCCCGGCATGCTTTTCCTAGGCAGCTTCAGGTTGCGGGGCTTCAGGTACAAAGTATATGCACGGCAGCATACAACTGTTGCAACACTATTAACGTCCATGCAAGCTTCATCCTCAGCGGGCTTTTTGGTCTCCAGCTTACCACCGGTAACCACATCCCATTGTTCCGCATCCGGCACACTCCCCTTACGCCAAATTCCATCCCCATCAAGCCAATGACAGCTGCCACATACACTGCCACTGGTCTCCAGGGGCTCAGTCTCCCCAAGAACAGAAGCCGTAACCTCTGCCTCAACCTCCATATCGTCCGAAGCAGCCTCAGACTCACCCCCTTCAGCGCTCTCCCCAGCGGAATGATCCTCGTCGGAGGACTCGTGGCCATCATCG